ATAAATTTTTAAATGCTAGGAAATCGAAACAAGATAACTAGTAATATTATAAATCAATTACCAACTAAATAGTCCGTTGTATTGAAGAAATCAACCATAGAGAAGAGGTGATTCGAAACTAAACGAAAATACTCTTTAATCTTGATTGAAATCGTTATATGTTTTGTTTACTTTAGTTAATATAATCGTTGTTAGTTTAATTGTTTTTAATTGATGATTTTATTTTTCTGAACTTGTAAAATCAGAACCCCCCCTTAAAGTATTTTCTTAGTTTAATTAGGATCAGTAGTTTTTCCATAGAATCATACCCGTTCCCCTAGTGTTCGACACATTTTCTTACCTTATAATCTATTATTTCACGACTAGGTACACTGCCTATTTTTGTTTTAAACTGGTTGAGATTTGATAGGTTTTTATAAATTCAAAACTATTAGTAAAATACACATTAAAAATCAGCAGAATGGCATATACAATGTCTAAGGAACTAAATGTCAAGTACTGGAGACCACCGCAAGGTTGCGATAGAGAGTATGATCCTGAACTGGATCACCAAAATGATTAAGCTTCGTAGGGGTATGGCACAGATTGCACGAGGACATGTGAGCACGATAAAGGAGATCGAACACATATTTATGTGAAGACAGTAGTAAGCATGTGTTCTTCCATGTTGTTAAGAAGCCAAGGAAATAGGAAAGAGTACCCAAATAAAGCATGGCAAACTCTGTGGATAAAAAAGAGATGATGTGTCGAATCACGTCAGCCGACGATGTTCTAAGAATGATATCAATAACATAGAGGACCAACAAGGTCGTGAATATCTCATGCTGATATGTAAATAGGGAGGGGTCGGATTTTCTATGAGTAAATCCGATCCATGTGATGAACTCTGTGAACGTGGAAAACCGTGATGTGGGTGCCTATTCCAGACCATAGAGGGACTTGTGATGAAGACAGACATAATATGGATGACCCGGGTGATAAAAACTCGTAGGTTGGTGCATGTAGACTGTATCGTTAATATCACCATGTAAGAACGTATTATTGATTTCCATTGATAAATAGGCCATTGGCGGGAGATAACAATGCTCAAGACCAAGCATATGATATCTAGTTTAACAACCGGGCTAAAACTCTCATCACAGTCAATATCAGGTCTTCGACTTCAACCATTATTAACCAACCAGGGTCTATGCCTGTCTAGAGAACCATCTTCCTTTAATTTCTTTTTAAATAACCACATAGAGCGCACAATGTTGGCCTTATGGGTCCTCGGTACAGGTCTCCATGTGTCGTGAGAACTAAGAGCATTAAATTCATCTTGCATAGCAATGGTCGAGTTAAGGTCATGAAGTGCATGAAGATGATACTTAGGCGTGAAAGATTCGGTAGAAGTATGAAGGTTAAGGCAAGGAATGGGTTTAGAGATGCCCCGACATTGAGTAGGAGGTGTCTGTTGAGTAGATGCTGACATAGAGGTGGTGGGGTGAAAGACTGATGGAGTGGAGGTGGTGGGAGTAATGGGAGTTGTACTACCACTGGAGGAAGATGTGGAGTCTTGAGACTCATTGGCGGTAGAGCGAGAGACCAGATAGGGGGTCGGCGTATTTAAGATTCGAGAGATGTGAGTGGGAGAGATGTCATCAAGGAATGTGTAGGAAGGTGGGTGATTTGGCTTCATGGATTGAAAAGAAGATGTGCACTCATCAAAGGTGACATGACGGGAGATGATTATCTTGCGGCTGCCAAGATCAAGACACCTATAACCATGGTGGTTAATTAGATAACCGAGAAAGATGAAAGAAGTGGAGCGGGAGCATGTTTGTGAGTAGGTGTGATGTAGGTATCACATAGGCATCCAAACACGCGAAGGTGGGAGTATGAGGGTGTTTTGTGGAAGAGTCTATAATAAGGTGTGTCATTTTTTATGGAAATTGAGGGTGTAATATTGAGAACATGGGATTCCATATGAATAGCCTCGACCCGGTATTCGGGAGGAATATGGACTTGAAAAAAAGGGTATGTATGATGTTGTTGATAATTTAAATCATGAGTTCAAACATCTGATTATATTGGGAAGCTTTGGGGAAAGCGAAACGAAAGACAATGACATTTTGGTCAAATAAGAAATGAAAATCGTGATTTTCAAATTCGCCCCCATGGTCACATTGGAATAATTTGATTTCAGTGTTACAATGGGTTTTCACATATGCAAGAAAATGAAGAAATTTGTTTATGACTTTGGATTTGTTATGTAAACGATACACCTAAAAGAAATGATACTAATGATCTAAAAATAACACATTATATTTTACTCCAATAATTCTCGGAATGGCAGATGTCCAAATATCTGAGTGAATAATCTCAAAACCATGAGAAACAACTGAAATAGATTAATTAAATTGAAACCTAACATGTTTACCAAGATGAAAAGAATTACATGCAAGAAAAGTAATGTTTTTATAGCATGTAATAAATTTATTGGAAAGTAAACATTGAAGAACATGAGGGTCGGGTTGACCAAGACGTTGATGCCAAAGTATAGGGTTGGAAGCAAGGAACGCAGATGGGGATTGAGACATCAAGACAACAGGATAAACATCACTCGAGCTATCATATCTAAGAAGAACCTAAAAGTTTGAAAATCCTTCACAAAAAAACCAAATTAATCGAATTCAACAGTGGCATCATTATCAGAGGTAAATTTACCAACAATTATAAGATCTTTTACAATATCGGGAGTAACAAGGACATGATGAAGATGAATGGGACGATAAGACGAATGTAAAGAAGAATAACCGATATGGGTAACGGGCATAGATAAACCATTTCGTATAATAATAGAATTAATTTTTCTCTTATTGCTAAGGGACTAGAGTTACCTGTATCTGAGGCCAAGTGAGATATTGCATTGGTATCTATATACCATGAGGGATTTTTGTGAGTCAGAGATACACATGGAGTTCATCGCTTGAGTAATATTAGTCTACTAATCTTGGTTTGAGGCGGAAACCACTGCCATGGCAGAGTGAGATAAGCACTAGGAGAGGAAGCATGAAAAGAGATTGGTGGTTGTTGTGGAGGGTTACCCGATGGGCTATTGTCGAGGAGACCCGACTGGATGGATGGTTGATGTATCCGACGATGTGGTATTTGCTAAAAAGGAGGTCGATAGGGCTTCCACTAGGAAGTTGGCCATCCCCATCGAGAAAGAAACAAAGGCCATGACATTTGAACATGTGGAAACAAGAGAGGACACCGAGAGGAATCGGAAGGCGACTGGAACCGACTGTCATTTGGATGGTGTTGGTGACTGTCACGGGGACCACCCCAATTGTGATTTTGATTGTTCCTGTTGTTGGAGCTGCAATTTTGAGAGGTGCTTTGAAACTCGACAAATAAAACAGTGGGTATTGATGCATGATCTGAATAAGATGGGTTTGCGGGACGAAATCGTGACATTCTCGATTTTTCAAGGAGCATGGTAAAATGTGCTTGGAAGAGAGAAGGCAACGACTTTTTATGAAGGATGACAGTGGAAACGTTGTCATATTTGGTTGAAAGACCATTGAGAAAATACACAACCAAGATGCGTCCCGCGGCCGGTAATCTAATGTTAGCGAGAAGGTCGGCAGTGAGTTTAATCTTTTCATAGTAGTCGTTGATTGATCAATCTCCAATAGTCATTAGTTGAAGCTCGTTGTCTAGATTAATTATACATGCATCTTTGTTTGCTCGGAACAAAACTTTAATATCCACCCGTAGAGAGTAAGTCATAGATCCGAGTTTGATGACCATGTTGAGTAGAGAATGGGTAAAGGTGGCATAGATCCACATTTTTAAAAGTGAATCAATGGTTTCCCATCTGGTGTCTTCATCTCCATAAGGTTTGGAAGTGCCATTTAAGTGACCAAAAACGCCAAAACTGGGACAGTGGGTTTGAAAAAATTCCATCCATGAATCATAGTTAAGTTGATTCATGTCGAGAATGAGAGGAACATAAGCTTTTATTTTGGTAATGACCTAAGATTTCATGTTTGGAGGTTGTGGTTTGTGTGTTGTCATTGGGGTTGGGCAGAGTGACAGAAGGTGGAGTGCTGACATGAATGAAGATCGAGATGGATAAGTAAAAACAACAACATCAGGCGATAGAAGTAGCCATCAGGGGAGGGAGCACAAACGATTATGGTTAGAGAGGGAGGAGCTCTTTAGGGCTATAATACCTTAATAACATGAGTAATAATGTGAATGCTCTATTCCATAGAAATAAGAGAATATATACATGCTACAACATTAATGGGCCAATGGGATAACTAGCTAACTGGGCTAAGCTATACAAATAATACAATATATGGAAAATGACATATTTTCCCGATTATGTTTCTAGGGTTTACTTATTTAGCCACTTAACTTATTTTGTGGGTTAATAAGGGAACGAATTACACTTTATGGGGTCGATTAAGTCCCTATTTCAATTGTGAAGGGGTTAGCCGGTCATTTTTAGTCCACTTCCTTCTACTAACACCACATCGGATGCTGACTGTGACTTTCGTGTAATGCCATGTCATTAATTAGTCGCTTCCTTGTTACTATCGGTATATGCTTTATAAAAGAGCCATTTTTACCTCAACTATTCAACACTTCATCGATAAACCCTTTCTTGTGATCTGCTTTTGAATCCTCAAACATGGAACCTGTATTCTTACAAGTAGATGTCTACTTCCAAGGAATGTTCGGCAGAAACCCCATACACTACACCGGTGGAATTACTCAGAGGTTTTCGGGCATCGATTTCGCAGCCATGGACAAGGAAGGGTGTGTTGCGTTCATGGACTTTAATCACAAGGAAGTGTGAGAAGCTCTATTACTGCCAACCTGATATTGATTTTCCAAAAGGTTTGACTTTAATTAGCAATGACCCGGATTACTTCGACATTATAGCAATTGCATATGAATGTGGTGTTATACTCCCTATGTATGTAGACAACTTTGGGAATAGTAACATGCATGAATGGTTGGATGAACACAAATACGAGGTTGTTGGTAACATAGAGGAAGAGACACTTGATGGTGCAGGACTGTTTAAGGAAGTTGCAACAGGGCATTGGGATGTGGGTGACATTGACGATGAGGAAGAGAATGGCGATGAGGATGATGACGAGTATGAGGATGCCAATGACGATGAGGATGACCATCAGAGGACTCATTTTTTCATAAAGGATAATGGGATGCAGGTAGACATGGGTGAGAATTCAGGTGTAGGTGAGTCTTTCAAAGAAGACATGGGTAACAATGAAGATGTTTATCCTGAATTGCCAAATATTTTCAATGATAAGCTCAATTGGAAGGAGCAGGAACCCGTGTTAGTTATGAGGTTTGAGAGTCCTAAACAATTAAAATACATGCTTTGTAACTATGCTGTCGCGAATGGTTATCAATTATGTTTTGTTAAGAATGATACCAGACGATTACTTGCCAAATGTTGTGATGGAAAATGTACTTTTACGCTTTGGTGTTCTTGGATGACTGATGATAAGTCTTTCTAGATAAAGTCTCTTATTGGTGAGGATAATTGTGCAAAGAATTTCAAATTCGGATCAATTGTGACTTACAAATGGATAGGGACCCACTTTAAGCACCAATTTTATAACAATCAAAAGATGAGCATCCGATTGCTTAGAGAGGAGGTAAAAATAGCTTTTGGGATTAATGTGAGTATGAGTCAGTGTAGGAGAGCAAAGAAGTATGCATGGAGTCTAGCTGAAGGCACAACAGCTGAAAATTATGCAATAATATGGTCATATGGTGAAGAGATTAGAAGATCAAATCTTGGATCCACAGTTAAAATTTGTGGCGATGCAATGCCTGATGGTAAGAACTATTTCAGCAAGATATACATATGTTTTGCTTCAGTAAAAGAGGGATGGAGGGGAGGATGTAGGAGGATCATGAACCTGGATGGTTGTTTTTTGAAAAGTTTTTGCCAAGGGGAGTTGCTTTGTGCTATGGGTAGAGATGCTAACAATCGAATATTCCCGATTACTTGGGCGGTTGTTTGTGTGGAAAACAAGGAGAATTGGAAATGGTTCATAGAAACTCTTTCAGAAAATTTGCAATGTTGGAATGACGGACAAGGTTTGGTTCTAATTTCGGATCAACACAAGGTATGGTTCATAACTACTTCATGTTCTAAAATTAGTAATTGATGTTCTAATTTCAAACTTTAATGTGACTTATGTAGGGTTTGATTGAGGCAGTAAAAGAAGTATTTCCAGCAGCCGAACATAGGCAGTGTGATAGACATATCTATGCGAATTTTAGAAAGAGATTTAGTGGAGCCAAGTTTGAAAATTTGTTTTGGAAAGCGAGCAAGGCAACAATTGAAGCACATTTTAATGGATATGTATGCGTACATTCAGTTGCCACCTTAGCCTACTTAAATATCACACCTGATGGTCCATATGTAGATCCAATGTACTTGGCTGCATTCTTCCATAATACTTACAAACAGCCAATCCATGGGATGAATGGACAAAATATGTGGCCTTCTACTGACTTGATACCCCCTTTGCCTCCATTGAAAAGACGTATGCCAGGAAGGCCAACCATAAAGAGAAGAAGGGATGCTTTTGAACGGATTGGAAAACACACCATTTCAAAGGTAGGGAAGAAGGTCTCTTGTAGCATATGCAAAGAGAAAGGTCACAACAAGGCTGCTTTAGTAAAGTTGTAGGGTCATCCAAAAAAAATGGGACAAAGAAATAAAAAATTATACCTATGCAGGAGTCTATAAACGTTACCATAGGGGTTGGGGATGATGAGGTAATGGTTGATGCTAGTGATGCATTGGAGAGGACTGGTAAGGAAGACCAAATGGTGAAGGTCAATGCTCGTGTTCATCAAGTTCAGCATGTTAAACCACCTAACAAACGGAAGAAGTCGGAAAGAATCATTAAAATAAACCTTGCTAAAAATGTGCGAGGTGAAGGTGGCAGTCTTGCAACGCCCATGGAGTTGGATTAAATAATTATTTGGTATTTGTAGTGAATGTGTGTTGCAATAAACAAATGATCTATGTTATGTTCTTTTATGGTATGTTGTTATATGGTATGGTATGTTGTTCCATGCCACAAATATGTAGGGGTATTATGGGCATTTTGGTCATTACAACCTGTGACAACCCGAAATTTTCTTTTGTACGAACTCTACAGTCAAACACTTCAATTAAAAGTCCAATTCA